ATATACTTGAATAAAATACATGTAACAATTTAAAAGCATTTCCCTTGGTGGTGTCAACAAATTAAATTATCTTCTCATAAAAATACTGGACGTTCCGCTGCCTCTCGTATACAGTAGTAAAATGATAGTTAAAATGAGATTTATTTTGATTATTTCCGTATTGTAACATATAACAATCCTGTTTTAAAATACGGTATTTGACAACGTGCATGTTTACTTTGTCCTTATCATCGTTGCCTTCATATAGCAACTATACATCCTCCTGTAAACAATAAAAGATAACTGACGTGCACTAATGCTTTGTACCAATTACCAATTGATAATAATTTATCGCTCGCATACCATTGTTGGTCCAAACTATTTATATGATCAGTTTTGAAATACTTCTAAAACATTTCCGTACCGCAAGCCAAAATACCATTTGACTGAATTTATAATTTAGTGGTTCTTATCGGAAGTATGTTAGCCATGAGAAAATGTATGCAGCGCTCGATCGGGACTTTGCGCTTGCCTTTATTCTAGTTTAATATCAATATGCCGCCGTTAATTTGAATTTCGTGTTCTTGTGGGCCCCGACCCCCAATGACGCCCATGGATTGGGTCTACTCTATGTGGGTCATGAGCAAAGGATTTTTCGTACTACTGCTGCGACGACTACAGTGATTTAAAGTGAATTGCTTGTTTTTTTTATATTAATTTTCCGACCGTAATGCATTTATTATTTCACTTTTCATCGTTGGCTTTCTGTTATTAAAATGTGGCGAATATTATAACTGATGGTATCGTTAAACACAAAGATATCTTTTTCATTGGAGTGCCACAGAGACTTACTATATACACCGAGAGTTATATTGCAAATTGCGATGCTCGCCCAGTTATTTACTCTTAATGATAGCTTTGCTGTTTGTATAATCGCCGGTTTTAGATTCAATTGAAACTCGTATGCCTAATACACACACAAATCGATACAGACGCAATTACAGTTTAGTCGTTATTATTTTCATCAATTTTGCGACATATTAATTAAATTACTGATTGGTAGATTCAGTGAAGAAATTATGTGTATAAAGCAAAAGAAAATGATTTTATTTATTTTTTTCCTTATGAGTGACCATCAAAAATTAGTTTCGTGATATTTTGTCGAACGCATTGTCTTTTTCTGACAAATTTTAGTTTCATAGTTGGAACATAACATAACGCGCGACTTAACGATCGGAAAGAATATAATTTCGATAGGGCATTTAGTCGCAAATTATTTTTGGCGCGCATCGATCTTCCGCCCACAACAGATAATGTAATATATTTTACGTGATCCATAATTAATTACCATGGCTTACGGAGTTCACATTCGGCAACGGTGATCAATGCTAGCCTCAGGGGCCACACCAATTTTGTAGTCTGCCTCCATGCGGTAAGCCGGGTGTAACTGTAGTCGTCGTCATCTCATCTAAAGGTTGATCAATAGTTTTTTATTATATGTTGTACTCTCGTATATGAACGATAGATACGCAGTACCCTGCGGAAACGAATCGTCAACGGCGCAAACTTGTTCACAACCAATTATTATTCGTTTATCAATCGGCAAATCGGATGTCGTTGTAATCTTTAATTATGGCACTTCTGCAGACTTCATTGTCAACGAGTCGTTACTATTATTTCACCCGAGAAATATAGAAACGACAGTTATCCTGGTTGAATGGATTATTTAAATTGTAATATTATTACATATGAACCCATGTGTATATCCGCTGGTTCATTCTATATGCGGGTGATAAAAACCATGGGCTAGGGTTAGTATGGGTTCAAATAACCGTATAGTAAAGATAAAATGCCATAGGTACAATAGTATGCAGGTGCAATTACCGTGGGTTCAAATGTAATGGGACCGTTTAATATTATATAATATTGGACTGTTCTTTCGCGTCCTTCAGCTACGTTAATAAACGATGATAATTTTGGGGCGACTTTTTCTCGCGATCGACTGAGTGGGGAAGTCATTGTTTCGCGGTCTAATGGGTTTATGATAACCGACCAATATTATGTTGTTCTCGTTCATTTTCGTCAGAGATGAGGTATTGTCCACGATGGCCTGTTTGCTGAGGCATTATACCTCACCACCTCGCGTAGGGTCTAAAAAACAAAACAAAGATCCGGTGTAGCTATATGTGAGACTTGTATACAGCTGTTAAATTACCCCCCTAAAACACTTTTTTTTTTTTGCGTTATCACTCCGACAACTTAGCAACAGTAAACACTATAAACATAAGATATATATTAATCAAGTAGCCTATGCCGTTAAGAATTTAAAGAAGCAGGATTGAAAACAACATCAATTGTTTAAACTTTTAAATTGCATCGAAAATTCTCAGTATGTTTTATGTTATTTCTTTGCAATATTGCTATTTGAAATATTTTATTGTCATTGGATTAAAAAATTGCCCTGATTTTTAAGCATTGTCCTCTTGTAGTTGGGAGTGAATTCAATTTGTAGTTTGGAAGTGTACCCGCAAGTCAATTCTATTACATTCTTTTTGTTCATTTTATTAGCAAGATTCAACGCAAAAGCTTGTAAATAAAGCTTCATCTATGATATAGATTTTGACTCCGCAGCAAAATTTTTGCCAATTAAATTGACTACAGATTTTACTTCCCTCAATTCGCATATCTTCTATTGAATACCCAACACTTCTTTGTCGTGTACCATTGAGTATCTTTGACGTCTCAAAACACGTATTTAAATTGCGAGCGTCGCGTAATCCTAATCACCGTTGTTAAATCGGAAGTGGATGAATTGGTCTACGGATCTTGTCATTATATCTAATACTTTATTAAATCCGACTAGCTTCGATGGTTTGTACAGTTACTTCTCTTCATATATATTGCGCAACATGTATGGCCGCGGTTAAACTTTACCGAGTAGTGGTTGTTTTCTACTGATCGTATTTGATCATGGTACTTTTTTATGTTTTGGTCAGACAGATTAGTTGGGTAGAGGTAATATCGCGACGACATGGAAACAAAAGTAGATGGTGAATGACCTATTATTTGTTTTTACCGCTTCGGCGAATCCAAAAGAGAGAAAGAAACGTCGTTTCAATTCACAGATTGTTAAAAGAACTACCTATTTATTCGTCGGTCGGTCGGTGATCTCCCGCTGACGTTATGTCGCTTAAAGCAATTTGACATCAACCTTCAGTTCATGGGGGCTTTTCAGCGTTAATAAACAAAATTTTACCTGGTTTCAAGTCTATAAATTCACACCATAAACAAAAGAACTACACATTGCCTGCTAACAGCCTTGCATTAGCTTCTTTGGGAACACTAAAATTGTACAGCCTTATATTGTCTTTTTTGGGAACATCAAAATTATAGCTTCAATGTCAGTTTATACAGGGACTACACACCATCACTGTAAGTTTGGCCACTAATAAATTCCAGAAAAAAAATCCTAACTGGTCAACTGAACAGACATTTAGATAGGACTGTGATACATCTATATTTAATACAGATGTTTATATTATTGTCATTTGATTCTCGTTTATCGATTTTTGCAACTGTATCATTGATATGCATGTTAATTACCGTGATTTAGGAGATATTTTATAGGTACTCAATTTGTACCAATTCTTCTTCTATTTGGTGTGAAGCTTAGTGTAACACTGCTTCACTCGATATTAGCAATGTTTTAAAAACACTCATGAAGAAAAAATATAATTGAAGGAATGGTTATCAAATTTAAGATACCTTAGAAGTAATACTAAAAGATATATAGACAATCGAGAGCAAACTACCCAGACTCAAAAAAAAAAACACCAAGTCTTTTCGATATGATAACTTTACTCTGACTATCTTGCTTCAAGTCTTCTGAAGGTTTTTTCATTGATGTTATTAAGAGCATATTAGGCTATTTTTAGTTGATGAATGTTGTGGAAATTATATACAAACAAGGCCCATTTTGCTTTTTGTGACATATTCCACAACATTATTCAATTCCAGGCTGTTTTTAAAACAAATTTGAAATAATAAATTTTAATTGGGTGTAATTTTTCCAGAATAAATCCAAAATAAATTAGGTTCACAGAATTTAAACATCTGCTTTTATTCAACTCACGCTTGTATCAATAAACCGCTATTGATGTGAAAGTAGATTTCACATTAATATGATTTTTCTGTTATCATAGGCAAGATAGCAGTTCTTGAATACTGGTTCCTTTCATAACAGTGGAAATTGTACCCTGTTCAGAGTGAAAACGTGTAAACAAAATGTAATATGATCCAGGATATCTGCTACTAGCTAGTGTACTAAATCCCACCTTGTTAGCTTTTAGCCCCATCGCCCTCTTATTCTTTCTCTTCTTTTCGCATGTTTTATTACTGTTAAAAAAAATTATGATTGGTATTATCATGTGATATTTTTTTTTTGTAGTTTTCATTCTCTTTTTAGTACTCTTTGGGGAATTGATTTTTGAGGCCGTCTAACCGGGCTAAAATTTATTTTCACCCTATTGCAATTATGATGCCTGCTCTAGAGTGTCCTGTCGTGGTTGAAACTCTCCTTAGGGGGTTGGTCGACCTCGTTGACCTTGAAGTCTTGCCCGCCCCCTTCTGATTATATTTCATGATTATTGTTGTTTGTTTATATTTACTGCGTTATGTACTTGTATGCAATGAATTATTAGAAAATAAATCATCTATCTATTGCTGAAAAAGGCATCTTTAGGGCAATTTTTAACCTTCCAGACTTGAGTCATTTGGCTGCTGACAATGTATTATCGTGTGATACAAAACTAGTGATGCAGTTATTTTATGTGATATTATCTATTGGTGGTGTCTTAATCCAGAGTATTATGAAATCCATTGTAGGTAACGATATTGATTTGTTTCTGAGATGAGCTAATGGTCTTTTGTTTCACCCTTTTTATCTTTATCAAATATTGATGATCTGGGTTGGAACCAATTATTTGAAAAATAAACTGAATGATATATTATTATTTTCACAGCTTTTTCGAGAAGTTCGAATTATGAAACACTTGGATCATCCTAATATAGGTGAGAGAAAAATATTGTATTGTATACAACTAAACCGACAGTGAATTTCCAATGTTCGATATTTTACTAAGTATGGTTTAATATATAGGGTTTGAGGGTAGCAGTAAACAAAACGCTCGGTTTGTTAGTCTTGGAATATGCAAACAGAATCCATTATTCATTGTTTATTGCACAAATGTGACAATGTTTATAACCATGTAGCATTGCTATTTTTTCGGTACTCCGCTAGTGTGTGTACCAGGTTATCATGGTTAGGCCATAATTTTATTCCAATCTTCCTAATTTTATTTTTATTATGAGTTCGGGGACTGCCTGTGTTAGCCAAGTGAATAAGAATATGTCCCCTGTCCATTGGTTTCAGTTCCTTTACACAACTTGATGTAAGGTAGGCGAACAAAATTAGTTATCTCCATATTGGTACACATACACATACTTCTTGAGTGCCGTTTTTTTTCACTAGATGACATTTATTTACCAGCTAGCGTTATCAAACCCCAGGCTTTTTCTAATAATAAAACCCTGGTAGTTTTGAGGGAAATACCCATGTTCAGAAGAAATAATTTATATACTGTATTATATCAATGTGTATTATTATTATTTTTTCGTTGTACAATTGCATTTAACTATTCACTGATATTAATAGTTATCAACAATAACACGCTTGTTTCCAAAGACTTTTTAAGTTTCTAATCTCGCACTGGATTAAAAAACATAGAAATATGATATTCATGAATGTGTTTTCTTTTTTTTCAGTCAAACTTTATGAGGTTATTGAAAATAGTAAACAACTTCTTCTTGTGATAGAATATGCTAATGGAGGTGAGAATACAACTTTTATTTGGGACATTTAGAATTTTTACAAGAACTTTTTCGTGTGTTAAAATGGATGAAAAGTATTGTCCTGTTTTATTTTTTGAATAACAATAATCCATTGTGTTGATGTATTTAGAAAGTTCAGATCTAATCAAAAACCTATACAAATAGATAGACTCATAGATACATTAAGAATAATCTTCTATATCTGGCTGTGAGTCATCAATAACATCTGAATATATTTTGTTTTTTTAGGCGAAGTTTTTGATTATCTTGTTGCTCACGGTCGAATGAAAGAAAAGGAAGCCCGGGCTAAATTTCGCCAGGTATAGTATCTCTCTAAATCTGTTGAATGAATATCTATGGAATGGTATTTATAGCATCATAATTAAACTGCATTACTAGGATTGTCACTGAAACAAAAATGGGTTATAATAATAGCTATTAGCTACCAGTTCTCTTCAGTTCAGCAATCTTTTACTTTCGTATCGGAATGCTTCATATTTGAATTTGCCCTATGCAACACTTGCTTGAAAATAAGATACTCATGACTGTACTTGAGTTGAGAGTGATCGCTGGACTTTCTGATTTACACAAAAGATGATCAGGGACCTGATAGTTAATTATTTATGTAAAAATGTCACAGTGAAATTTATTTTGTAATGGTAAATTGGACCCAAATTCGAAAATCACTTTTATCACTTCGGTTGGCTGTATTCAAATCTTAAAATGCCTAGTGTAGTGAGTAGCCTATTGATTCATATGTGCTAATTTGATATAGTCTGAGTACTGAGTTTATATTTACTGGCTGATAGTTTATATTTAGGGGATATTGAAGTATTATGTGTTTATTCTTACTTCGTATCTGTATTATGTATTGGTTACACTGCTAGAATGAGATTGTCTTCGAGTGCTGAATAAAAATAAGTATTCTTAGTTGGTTTTCAATTTCTATTTTGATAGGGAAAATTGGTGATGAGGCCTATAGTAATAATAGTGTCAATGAAATTTTAATAGAGCTTTCAAATTAAATACATATCATTATGCTTATATGCTGTTTAACTGATGTTATAGAGGATTGTTATACTTTATATGTTTCTATTTTTTTTACGTTTGTGCATGCATATATATTTCAGATTGTTTCTTCAGTGCAATACCTACACTCAAAACACATTGTACATCGTGACCTCAAGGTAAAGAGTTCATTTTCTTCAACAATTCATATGCTATAAGTCTTGCCTTTGCTCGAGTTCCTTTTTCCTCAATAATTCAATATAACATAATCAGGAATGTCTAAAACGAATCGAATAGTCAAATAGATTCAAAATTCCATTCAATAGTTTATTTTTTTATTTAAACTTAGGGGTAGTTTCATTCATCAAATTATCATTTTGAGCATTTAAATTCTACAGTATGACAAAAGATCCTTTTAATTTTCCCAAAACTGTGAAAAAAATTGAAAATTAAACACTCACTGTTGATCTTAACCTTCTTGCCTTTCCAAATTCAAAACTCATTGATTATACTTGTTCTTAGTTGAACATGAACCAATTTAAATTGTATTCAATATTATTTATTCAAAAATTTTAAATGAAAATTATTCAGAATAGCAAGTTATTCATATATGGCCATCCCTGAATCGATTCAATTAAATTCTCAAAGCCGCAATCCATAAGCACAGTGATCCGTGACATGTCATTTGGCTTGAGACAACGACGCCTACAACAATGTCCCTACGGATTTCAGTTCTTCTGCATGCATTGACATGTTTTAAACAATGTAATGCCACAAGCGCACAAGAAAACTGTGTAACCTTTCCATAATGGTGAAGTGCAGCAACTCTGATAATACTGTTTATTGGATTTTCTCGCCCTTCTGGGAACTCGAACTGATACTCTTTCCATCGAGATTGGCTCTTCAGTTCAATAAGAGTGCAGAAATAATCATTGAAATTTAAATTCGAATTTTTAATATTGATTAATTGTAATCATCAGAAATTGATTTCTTCCAACTTATTTCAAAGTGTATAGGATTCACCTATTTATCCAGGGGGAGAGGGGAAAGCCGATAAGGCGGCACGGTCATGGCGAACCGCGGCCTCTCGTCCAGTTACCAGTTCAGGTCGGGTATGGGATTAGTTAGCCAGTTATTTGTTTTCGAAAGCATGGTATATAAGTGTAATTTTGAAGATTTGGTATGCGTTAAATCAAACTTTACTCATGACGAAATTTGTGACAAATGGGGTGGTTCATAAAGTTGATTTTTTGATCCTTGAAACATAGCGTAAAAGTTATAATTTGAAAAAATCTGTGTTCAGATTTAAGCCCAACTTGCTTCTTATTATTTTAGTCTCTTTGATCATAAATTTATGAAAAAAAATATTTTCATTGTTGCAATCAGAATTGTCGAAAATGAATAGAAAATTCGAAACAATTCAAAATTAGTCATACTAGATATATTTTTGATTTTATTAATAATTCAGAATGGTATTTGAAAAATTATCATAAACCATTAAAAGTCTCATAGTATGACCAAAAACCTGAAACTTTTTCAAGTATTGGAACCAATGGAAGTGCAGTTTGACTTCTAATAATGATATGAACCAATTTAAATGTATAGAATAGATAAATAAATTTCATATTCTCATGCTAGTGAATAGTAAATCAGAATACACTCACACTAGTAAATAATTCGGTTTGGCCAATCCTAAATTTGTAAACCAAATTCGTCATATTTTTATATTGTCAAATTTATTCATCTTTCTTGGACTGATATATCTCAATATTAAACTATTACCAATGAATATTAACAAACTCGTGAGATCAGATTTCTCAAATTATGATTTATCATGAAGCTTTACATGCAACTTGTGGTACAGGTCATTGAATTATTGCCCAAGGCCTAGTCTTTGATTTTATGTTTTTCTATCATCATGTAATATTAATTACCCTTATGACTCATTTTTAATCATGCTCTACAATGAAGCGCTTCATATTTATTAATAAGTTTATACATGCAATTAATTAACTTTATCAATTTGTGGAAAGTGTACAGAGGTAGTTTATATAGCCCTTTATTGACTGTGGTCTAGTTAAGGCCTGATGAATATTCTGAGCCCAGAAGTTTACTTACAATACCAACTAAAATTTGTTATGAGAATTACTATTTTCAATTTGTATATGGACAATACCCTTTTCGTTTAATCTATTTTGTTCATTTTAAAATGTCAAACATTTTATTTTAGGCTGAAAATCTTCTGCTTGATTCGGATATGAACATTAAAATAGCCGATTTTGGATTTAGTAACGAATTTACACCAGGCTTAAAACTTGATACATTTTGTGGAAGCCCTCCCTATGCTGCACCCGAACTTTTTCAAGTAAGTAAACAATGTGTTTGTATTACCATATTTGCTTGTAAAGTGAAATTTATTATATTGTAACAGCATCTATACAGCAGGGATTCTTGCTTTGGTCTTGTTTCGGGTTGGTAAAGAGGAGCACTTGTCTTCACTCTCGACTGCAAATCTTTTTAAGAAACTGGTTGCTTTAAGCTCCAAGGTCTAACTGTACTAATAAATATGTCCATATATTTGAGCATTGCTCTCTTGTGGCATTAGATTTAAGTGATGGAATTCATGAATTATAGCGAAAGATCCTTCCATCCCATCTTTAATAAATAATTGATTTGCTATCATTACCCTACTTGTTATACTCAAAAATGATAGGACATTGTTTTTATAATTTTTACTTCGTTGTTTGGAAATTTGATTTAATTAAAAGCTTTAGATTAAGTTAAGGTTTTGTTTCAAATAACAAAAAAAAATTGCCTAAAAAGTATTTAGGTAATATGCGCCTTCTTCGGGTTTTTAAACTTTTCCCACTGTATTATCCAAATCTTGAATTCATTGATTCGTTTCAAAAATAAAGTGCATTCATTCTCTATTATGTAAAAATATACCTCAATAAGTTATATGAGCTTCTTTTTGTACACTGGGGAGTGTCTGAACTTCATCAGCGTTTTTGTCTTGACCTGATTGTCCCTATTGTGTGACAGGAAATACTGGTATTACCGGTACAAAAATAGCCAATAACACCCAACTCTATCATCAGCAACACAATCACAATCAAATTGATAATCTTCCATGATATCATATGTCTATCAAAGGTATATTGGCAGTTTGGCACAGTCAATAACAAATGATCTGTTCATCTTCTTAGTATTTTACAGTCAGTTCTAATATTTGATTTATACTACCGAATCATAGCTCTCCATTGTTTTGTTGATTATAAATAGTTTTATTAACTGTGATGATTTTTTTAAATTTCAGATACCGTAATTAATGTTTATGAATCTTTTTTAGTCTAGATAAAGGGAGTTGAATGTTATTTTATCTCTTTTATGTAGTATGTACTGTATCTGTAGAATTTAAATTAGAGGTCAAATTTAAATGTTATATCATTATTAAGAAATCATATTAATAAGAAGCTTATATTTATTAGTTTTACTTGAAATTTCATAAACACTTGTTTAATTTAATGGACATCAAATTGGTTATTGCACCTAAATTATTATTTAACGTTGTCAATATCATTATGATACAACTAATTTGTTTATCATCAAATGTCATTCAATTAAAAATTATTTGAAAAAATTAAATAAAATGACGAAAAATGTTTTGATAAATCAAATGGCAACAGTATCGTCATATTGATTTCGCAATCCTTCCTCAAGCCACTATGCATTAAGATCATAACTGTCATTTTAATAAATTTTATAGTTTACAATTACTCAAAAATACTGGCAAGAATAGACTATGATGATTTGCTTTTTTAGACCAGAAATTTTCGAAACAAATTGAATATTAAAAGTTATTTTGATTCAGTTATATTGGATATAGTAAGTTGTTGCTTTAGGGAATATTTAGTTTCGATTTGAATATTCGCGAAAGCATAATATTATGGCTAAAAATAAGATGCATTCAACTACCGATACAACTGTATTTGTAGATTGCAGTATGTTTAAATATAATTAACATTATATTAAGCATGACCCATTATTTCATATTGAAAAGTATTTCTAGGTATTCGAATATTCGAAATTTTTTGATATTTCATCATGATTCTGATATAGGCATCCAACATTTTATTATCATTTCCTTAATTATTTATACTTATAATTAGGAATGAATACCATGTCAGTAATCCCTTTCCATGGAATAATAGCTAGTATATTTATTAGTGAGCTTTTGTTGGATCATAGTCTTAACTTCTTCAGACAAAACAAGATATAACTTACGGTAACCAAACATCGAATATTGTAGAATTAGACAAGGAGAAAGGACCTGCAGTTCAATACACAATATCTTAGTACCCACTGCATCCGCATTTTTACCGATACTTTGAACCTTTAATAAGCTTATTTCACCTCCAGTGAAATGCAATACCAATATTCAGTTTATTAGTTTTCCCCGCTTTACAATACTAGATTTATTCATTATTCAAACCCTCATTCAAATAATCAATTTATTGATTGCTTTGTTCCATCCCTTGCATAGCTCTATACTTTAACTGACAATGATACTGATAGAAGAATTGCCAGGTTGCAAAGTTATATCATGAATATTAAATGGATTCGTAACGTAGGATTAAACGAATTGACTGATATTTTTATTAAATCTATTCTTTGCCTATTTAAAGTGTTTTGATCATGACAGAAGCAGGTGCATGTCTGCTATAAGTATAAATTATTTTCAAATTTATCGACTTTATTGAAATTGTAATATAATAGAATATTACCGTATATTGTAATTTTTATTTTTTTTAATTAACATTATCTGGTAGTTTGACCCTCTATCTCCAACAAAAATCATGTTAGCGGAAATAATCAAAACAAAGGGTTTACTCATGAATTATAATTTATAGTGGGAGCAATAGCCACTAGTGGTTTGACTTACGGTATTAAATATTATGCCATAGAATATCATTATGGATAGAATTTTGGATCCAAATCCCATGCCTGCGACCTCCCTCTGGGCTCGATAAATTAGGTAGGCAATTGCGAACCGGAAAGATCCTGATAATTCCATAATCCAAACTATAGAACTTCTTCTAGCAGTGCCTGCTTGTGAAGAGCCTTGTTTAGAGCAGAAGGAACACTATGTTGTTTTGTGTAGTAATTAGGCTGTTCGTAAATTTGCATCCAATATAAAAACTACAGTCAATATATTTTTCTGGACAGCTTCTATAAATTACTTTAGGGCTCCGTTATCAAATATGAGTGACTGTCTTTTATTAAATGATACTTGGTACCTGTATTCTTATTTAGGTACATATTACAAAAAGTACTACATTGCACAATTATATTATACTTTTTTCTTCTTCAGGGCAAAAAGTATGATGGACCAGAAGTAGACGTTTGGTCTCTTGGTGTTATTTTATATACACTTGTGAGTGGTTCCTTACCTTTCGATGGACAAAATTTAAAAGTAAGCAATTACTATGATTTATTTTTATTTATATCTTAATCACTAAATATTTTGTGAAGATCTATTGTATTATTTCTTAATGGTCATTGGAATTGTTAAGTCAATGCGTCCGAAATAAATAACTGACTAACTATCCCATATTTAACATGGACCGGTTGAGAGGTCATGGTTCACCATATGCTTGCACATCATCATGAATTGCACATCATATCCTGTAACTAGAAGTCATCTAAATTGTACTCTGATCATACTCACATTTTGTAGGAACTGAGGGAGAGAGTCTTGAGAGGAAAGTATCGCATTCCCTTTTACATGTCTACAGACTGTGAAAATCTCTTGAAACGTTTTCTTGTTCTCAATCCTCTCAAACGAGGAACTCTCACAGTGAGTATATTTTGTCTTTTTTATTTTCGAGCAAATTTTAACCTATCATATCATGCTGATAATACCCACAATGTTGTCACAACAATACCCTTATTTGATAACAGAATGAAAAGAACTTATTCGAAAGAATTTTTCTATTACTCATACTTGAATGGGATTTTGCCAAAATGCAATCTTGGAAATTCTCTAATATGAGCCTTCATTCAAAGCCTATTGGGCAAAGCATTGTACTTATTACAGTTTTGCGACCTCACCCAGAGTTTTATTAATGATAGTAACTTCTGTCCCTTCTGCGTTAACGTCACAGTTCCGCTACCTCACTCAGAGTGTCATTATTAATAGGAGCTTCTGTCCTTCATACGTTAGCGTCACAGTTCCGCCACCTCATCCAGAGTGTCATGAATAGGGGAGATTCCGTTCCTCCCAAATTTAACTATCTATATATTATTGGCTGCTTGAACAGAGCATTATTCACAGAGACCATTGGAAATCACCTTCATAACATCAAGTATGCATTTGAGATTCCCGGTATATGCTGGTTTCCATCATATCTTTTATCTCCCTCACTACCTGTTATTTTATTTGGAACGCCTATCAAAACTTGCAGTAACAAAATATGCAAAAGTGCGATTATGCTTAGATTGGGCTATGAAATATTGTCATAAAATTCACATTATTTTCTTATTTTTAGTCTATAATGCAAGACAAATGGATGAATATAGGATATGAAGATGACCCATTGAAGCCACATATACATCCAGATTTATCAGAAAAAGATGAAGACAGAATAAGTAAGATTTTATATGAAGAATATTGCTATTTTCAAGTATTTTTACAAAGTTTTAAACTGTGCCGAATTCCGGTCTTTATTTTTGTATGTCAAGCTTTTATAATATTTCTGATGGGATCGAAAACGAAATTCTTTGAATTGGCGATTTTACGAAGTATGTAACAGTTGGTAATAGGTGTTATAAAAAATGACGTTGCAATGCTATTGGTATCTATCAATATTGAAACACCTTCTATCATGGGGTGGCTGTTGAGCATATATAAATGCAATACCAAATCGACTTAAATTTAAATCATTTTCTTATATCTACTCTACATGATAATATTATGACTCATACGATACTATGAAACATGCATTATAAACATCACATGTAGTCACCAGATTGAGGATGCCAGTGAATTACTTACTATACGGATGCATGCTTAACATCCTTTATACATACGGTACAGTTATGACCAGTTAGTTTTCAGCAGCACACCTTTTTAACTAAAAGGTACAGTATATATAATGCAAATAAAATGCGAAAGTGGAAGCAATTTCTGCTTTCATTTTAAACTGGAATACCTTCACATAATATATTCAATAATATTATTCGTTGTAATGTTCAATATTTTGAGCTGCAAAATTTTCGTGATAAAGCAAGCTACGTTTTAAATTGAATATAATATCATACCAATAAAATTATGGTATTATAATAATAGATTAGTTCTGTCTTATTTATTCAACTTTTTGATTGTCATAAAGGTATTTTATTCAGTAATTTTAATTTTGCTCAAATTATTTTTTGAAACATAGAGAATTAGGATTACTGTTTTTTCCACGCAATTTGCCATTCACTGCTGAACAGATTGTATGTATTGTTCTAAATTGTAGATAATTTAAAAAAAATAAAATAAAAGTATTCACAAATCCCAAGCTTGAAAATAAATATTATAAAAAACATTCCAAATATTACTAACGCTAAACTAATTTTTTTTTCTCCCTAGGTGCAATGATAGACATGGGATATAAACGAGATGAAGTTATAAAATCAATACAAAGTCATGCTTACGACGAAGCATATGGGACATATCTATTACTTGGCACACGACCCAGTGAGGTAAGCCAGTTCATGACAAATATAATGGAAAATATGGTCAGAAAAACGATCTGATGTATAGATTGAATACGGGGGTCAATCAAAAAGCAAGAACCCAGTTCATTTTGAACATATTCTGGGGAGAACATAAATTTTGTGTGTTTAGAATTTTTTCATTTTTATAGTAGTAATTAGGAAATAAATGAGTTTTGTTTTTTGAGCATCTTGTATCTTCAAGAAAAATACGTTAAAAAATCGAACCTCGAAAGTTTCAATGAATAAAGTTTGGTTTTGAATTAAGTCGAATGCTTTGACAATGTCACTTACCTTCAAATACCCTTCAAATTCGTCTTAATCATTCTGATATTTTAGTTTCAAGTGTTATTAGTTTTTATATTCAAAAAAAAGCAGTGGACAGTCAAACAAAAATAGTGCTATTTAATTTGTAAGAGCTGTAAAAAATAAAATACGTATTGTATCATTTTGATACCGATTTTCTTGTATTTTTTAATTAAATCCTTGATGAAAATACATTTTGACCATTAAATAATTTAGCTATATCTGAATTTGAAATTTTTTCTAATGTATTTGGACAAGTAAATAATTTGGTTTTAGCGATTATATCAAGCATTAGGATATTGAGCAAATTCAAATTTGTGATTTACTTGGTTTAAATTTCATGCACTTCGCTTGATAGAGTTACATAAAATGTGAATTACCGGTATGTTATGGTGTTTCAAAGGGTTATGGTGTGTTTCCGCACTACATTATGTGCCTATGTTATCCAGAGGTTGATAAATAATGGATGCATGTACTTCCAAATCGATCTCTCTCTGGTACAATAACCTATGTCATGTGATTCGTGTGTTTGCTGAAATACGGGATACAGCCATGACAACTGCTGTCATGATGTCTATTTTGAGGCTTTTTATCATAGCCAAATGGATATCTTAATAATAAATATACTGTATTAGATGTAATTGTATTGTTTTCGACAAGGATTGTGAAAATTTTGATCAACATCAGAAATTGCATTGATAAACATACATGACTGTAAATAATTGGTAAATAATTAAAAAATAATTTAAATAACGTGAATAATTCAACACTCATTTCGATCCCTATTTTTGTGAGAAAATATAACATGAATACATTCTAATTCTTATTCATTCCAAAATGTGTGGATTTTCAATCGTTATGTATAATTTTCATTTAGTCATGAAATACTCCTGTCTTAATAAATAAATTTTAAATAATAAGAACCTCGTTTAATTGCTTTGAAAAAAAAATTATTACTGAATTTGATTGTAAGTTGTAATAGCCGTCAATTCCAACTTTTAGTCTTTTTGAATTAATTTCTTTTTTATATAAAAAGCGTCGAAATATGAGTATTATGGTTTTTCTGAAAATGAGCATTAAATTTTTGTAGTCTCATTTCTTCCAATCAAATTCACTAAAAACAATATTTTGACTTCTCAGTTATCAGATGGAACAGCTTCTCGTTCTGGTAGTGCCTTGTCATTAACCGGAGGAAAAATTCCTGTCAATTCATCTTCGCAACCCGGTGGACAACAAGTTAGTAAAAAAGTACAACGCAGTGTATCAGCCAACACTAAGCATTCACAACGTCGACAAAGTCAAGAGGGAAGCGCAGGTATACTGTCATTAATTATTTATGTTGTTTCTACACTTAAAAATAGTAATTAAACAATAGGATAAATGGTATCTTATTATTTTATTTAAATTCAAGGGAACTCCTGTAGTGTGTGTACCAGGTTAGGGTTAGGGCATAATTTTATTCCGATTTTTCCTATTTTAGTTCTATTACGAGTTCGGGGACTGTCTGTGTTGTGTGTTAGATAAGTGAATATACCCCCTGCCCATAGGTTTCAGTCCCTTTACACGACTTGATGTAAAGTAGGCAAACAAAATTAGTTACCGTACCTCCATATCGGTACACATACTTCTGGAGCGCCATTTCAAGTCAGCAAATTGACAAATTTTTATTTGTCCTGACCAGGGAGTAGGATTGAATAATTTACTATTATATTTGAATAGAGTCTAAAATATATACTAATTGGAAGCTTTTTTGATTTTTTAACATCAGATTTTAAATGTTTGTTAAAATATCACATCTAACATTATCAAGGATTAAATGTGACTCATGTTTTATCTGCTTGCCCGATGCCAATTTTATTGTGTAAGGAAACATGTTTTCGAAGAATTGTGAAATATTCCATTAAATAAAAAATTTACTATATATAATATGAACAAAAGTGAAGTATATATTATTTGAATAGTCCATTTGTTTTGAGTCTTCATAGTTGAGGTAAAGTAAGTTTCCATTAGACATATCCGAACAGGTATTTTTGACTAGAGTAATTTTATATTCAAACCATGATGCAGCGAAATCATTCTGAAACAGTAAGACAACTTCTGTTGAAAGAATAGTATGATTTTATAGAATAGCCTGCAGTTCTTTATTAAATATAGGCAGTGGGTAAGTAGCCAAGCGCAAGTAAGTAGCCAAGCGCATGCGAAGAACCAAGTACTTAGTTTGGTAAAATAGAGTCTTTAATTAGATCATACACAGGTTTTGTTTTCTATATCTATCTCAAGATTAAGTAATTTGATTATTATCTTGTCACTTATCAATACAGCTTATTTGAATATTTATTCTAGTAATGCAGCTGCTGAGGTGGTGTTAACATGTGATGTCATCATAGTTAAGTCTAATGCTTTAATTAATAATAACCCATTAAGCCACCATGTCCATAAATATTACCGTATACCCATTATCATAGTCTTCACTCATTTACAAAAGAAGTTATTTGACACGCAATCTTTCATGTGAGTGTGATGTAAAATTTCATCGAACAAACAGATAACAAAATCATCAGGTATGTCTTATTTTATAGAATTTGAAGAGTTTAGGGAAATATCGAGTAAAGGATTTTTTAAAGAAGTTATCAGTCCACGAGGTTCACAAACAGGCAGTGATATCGGTGAGCAAAATTTGTGTTATCAACTTATCAGTCACACTATTCAATCATATCAGTCAATCTGATAACAGAATATTGATAAGACAGATAACTTTGTTCGACGGGGATCACGAACATCAGACAGAGTGTATTTACGAGCACAAAGTCCATATCACTGGAAGAGAGAGAGTCAAGTTGTAGATAGTTGTGACGGAGAAGTTTGTAGTGAACCTCAACCCAGGACAACTTCACCTCCTATTCCCCCTGATCCATTTTTAACGAGAAATCACTGGAGCAGGAGACCTCACAGGGTAGTTAAGTATAGGATAAAAAGCAAAAAATAGTTATTTTTTGAATTTTTTAGTTTTCTGTCAATTTTTTGCGCTTACATGCATAGATTAAATAGATTAAGTACAGTATATTTTAAAAAAAAATAGAAAAATTTATACTCCGCAAAAAGCCTGTTTTGTGTCAAATCTCCAGTTTGTTTAGTGAGAATTATATGTTGATAACTATAATATTATCCTATTTTTAAATTTATAATAAGTTGTAAAATCATTTCCCTCAAGTTCAATATGCGAAAAAAGGGAGTATAAATGAGTGGAGGAAAAAATTGTAAAACTCAAGGAATTCTATTTATAGTGTAAGAAAATGCATGAGAACTAAGATGTAGGCAAACTCAGTCCGATGGGTAGTCCTGTAGTATGTGTACCAGGTTAGGGATAGGCCATAATTTTATTCCGATTTACCTTATTTTAGTCCTATTACGAGTTTGAAGACTGTCTGTGTTAGCCAAGTGACTTTTGTCCCTTTATACAACTTTATGTAAAGTAGGCGAACAAAATTAGATACCTCCATATTGGTGCACATAATTCTGGAGCGCAGTCAGATGTATATATGTCAATATGTGTAGTTATTAATTAAAGGGACCTATGGACATATCAGTTCGCCACATAGATTGGTAATGGCCATATTGATGTCAACATTAAAAAATGTTATACAAGGTTTTCATATAGTCCTGTATTAAATTAGGTACAAGAACTTTGATGTGCTGCCACCTTAATACTGAAGCTATCACTATTGTTATTATTACAGTTTGGCAGGCAAAGAAGACCAATTCCATTTAGTGTTTCCAAACATTATGAGAAGCGGGATTATCATAATTGTGAACAAGCATGTGGAGATCCACCTAGAAGAATAGTTCATGGTTGTGAAAAAAGACATTTGATTAGTACACAGCAAAATAAAACATTAACCAGTTATGTAGAATCATCCAAGTTAAATTCTGCAAGAGCTAATAAGCCAGTTGGTGAGAAAAAATCGAAAATAAGAGGAGTTACTGCACAGAATTCAGCTAGTAAAGATGATAAATTTCTTAACTGTGCTAAAGAAAGTCAAGAAACTGAGAAAGAAAAATTGTTTTTATTGGTCGAAGAAGGCCCGTGTGTCAAAGAAATAAGTCAGAAATTTGAAAGACTTCATATTGATAATCAGAACAAAAAGAAAGGTATTTTTTTAACATTTCAGTCAATCGAAATGAGCCGATACTAATAAATAAATTATATTAGATCCAAATAATGTCATAGTGAACCAGTTTTTTTGAGACAACTGATTTTTGAGTCAGCATGGCGTGTCCAATTTATGAGACCCTGATGCATTTGGGGTTAGAATGCAAGATGCCCAACTTGCTATGTGAACCCAGTTGAGGTTGTAGGCTGATTCACGTAACCGCAGGTCGGTTACAGTTTTCTCCACTGACTTGTCCATTCATCTGACTAAGCTATCTTATTAGGTTTCCTTTCACCCGAGATAAATATCATCCCTTATTAACCTATCATGATATTTTAAAAGAAAAGATTGAGCATTTCATCAAATCATTACTATTCAGTAATTGTATTCGCTCTTTTTGTTCTGAAATGTAACTAATTTGCAAATTTGTTTCAGTTAAATCATCATCAAACAAAGGTGTGTCACGAACGACATCTCATCATCATGGACATCCTTCAAGGAATGGTCACACCGACTCTCCTAGATCATCATCCGGCATTACATCTGCGTCCGCAGTACAAGATAGAAGCGGGTATGATTTGGGATATATCTACAATTTTTTTGAATTTTTGTGATAAGACTGCTGGTCAATTTCAATTATCTCCTTGTTTTGCTCTTTCGATTGTAACCTGCGATGCATACACAGTTTAATTACTGCTAAGACTTTAATAACTCTGCTTGGGCAAACTACGGCCCATGCGCCAAATCCGACCCATTGGTTGGTTGATTCAATCTGGCCGCCGAATGCTGCCACAATCAAACTAAAAACAAATTTTGGTGTTTTAGTTAAAATAGCTCCAGGAATTTTTTGAGATTGTGAATAAATTTAGTCCTGGCACGAGGCTTAGTGTTTTCCAATTATGCTTTTGTAACACTGGAAGTATTGTTCATAAAATGTAACTTTTTACGTCACACTCACATGACCCGCCATTCTAAGTGGACAAAATTGTTGGCCCCTGGCCCAAAAACCTTGCCCACCCCTGCTTAAACCGCTAAGCCATCGTGCCCATGTTGCGAGGTATGTGGGTGCTGCAGCTTAACACCTATTATTTGTTATCTTATTTCAATTTGGGCTGGTTGGGGTACAAAGATTGCAATATAAGTAGCCTTTTGCCAAATCAGATTCTTCCTTCATTCTGAACTATACAAAAGCTAAGAGGCTTTGAAATGTTTTTGAAAGTGTCAATTTTTCAGAGCTAAATCGGCCATGGAAAAAATATCATCCACTGCTCACAATCCAAACAAAGCTGAAATACCATTACGATCGCAACAGTCACAGCGACCCGAATCAGCAAAGGTATTTATCGAACTTATGTTTTGTGTTTATCATTCTACAACCTCGCTTATATTCATTTACACAATTGAAATTCCAGGGGAATAAATGTTTAGAAAATAGATGATGTTTTTTCAGTCTCATTAATCATATTTGACTGTGTTTGTGGACTTTCTTCACAAAGCGACCATCTGTTAATTCTAGGAAAAAAGAATTGGTATACTTACACAACTTTGTTTTTGTTTGGCATTTTCAAACCTTCCACTTTGAAGAAGGCTATGGATAAATAGCCTCTGTTACCTGAGGAGATACTCTTTTTAGCCGATGCTATTCACGCTTTCACTTCAAACATGTTTCTCTACAACAGCGGTGGGGGTTTACTTTTCTGACTGGGCCAGTTACAGATAATAGACTTGGTTTCTGGGCCGTATGCTCAAAACTCTATGCATAAAAAACAGTTTATTCACGAAAGCTCGTCCAACAGTTAGTACTTAGTAGGCCAACGTTTATATAGTAATAACAAGCACAATGTAACAATTATGATGTTATTTTCATCGATATTCTAAACAGAAATTTATATTTATAAACCATGATGAACGTCGTCTTACAGTAGTACATATAAAGATTTATAAATTTCTATTACCGTAATTTGCTTGAAAAGTCTTGTTTTGAAACTTATAACTTATATTGACACTTTCGCTTTTACCAAAGAACTAAATGAGCTACTGTTATGGTTTTAAGTTCAAGAATTTTTCTGTTGTACCATAACTACTCAGTTTTTAACAATTTTTGTGAGGTGCTGTGTCTGCTGATGGATGATTATAAACTTACAGAGATGGAACTGAACTCAGAATCTCTAAATTGCAGTAGCAACATCATGTCTCCATTTTAAGATTTTCACATTATTTATTATAACGTGTTTTCGTTCCAGAAGCTGTCAGACAGTATGATGAGAAGAAACACTTACGTAGCTGGAGAAAGGAGACAAGATAGAGTTGGTTCTATTCCCACAAGCTCGAGGTATAAATATGTAGACCTAAGTTGATAATGAGCTATTTTTTATAATAAAAACACCACAGTACGCGTTTTTTTTGAATATGAGTGGATAGGCATCCCCGCACATGATGTAAATTTAATTTTTCAAATAAGATATACATTTGTAATTTTGCGTAGATAGATACTGCCATTTGAATTTTGATATAATACAAGACTTGCACAACCATACAATATAAAACTGTATATTGTTTGAAAGAAGAAATCACATATAGTTAATGTGAAGAGGAGATTACGTTACTTGGAAAATTGGCCGCTTTGAGTATTTTCGATGATGATAGAAGCCGCAACCAACCAACGTGAACCACCCTGCGTCGGCGAGAAGTCTAGCAATCCTCTTGCTCATAATTATCCCCCACAGGATTTAAATCTGGGAACCAGCACAGGGTAATCAGAGGTGCAATGGCAAATGCATTCCTAACGTTGACTATCGATTTATTCAATATCAACTTGTTCTATAGTTCCCCTGCTTCTCAGTCTACTCAGTCCGCTAGGAGTCGGCAACGTAAGTCGCACTCTATTGCTCAGGGTACCAATGTATTGGACACAAGTAATATTCGGCCCAAGTGAGTTTATGTCATGCTTGAACTGTTCCACCCCATTGCATACTAACATCCATGTTGTTGTCAAACTTTGCATTGATCGTGTCAATACCATGCATGACAGCATTTTTATTGTTGTGCATTGTTTTTATACTCCCTGAGTTCATTAACAAGATGGCAGCGATCAAGTATATGGACAAATGACGGTACTCCTGTAGTGTGTACCAGGTTAGGGTTAGGGCAAAATTTTATTCCAATTTTCCCTATTTTAGTTCTATTATGAGTTCGGGGACTGTCTGTGTTAGCCAAATGAGTATACCCTCTGCCCATAGGTTTCAGTTCCTTTACACAACTTGTTATCTAAGTTTCTACGAATTCATCAAAGTATTTCAATAAAAAAGTTACAGGAGTTTGAGAAATAGAAAATATGTTTTGATCATTTGCTCAAAACAGCTTTTGCTATTTTGGGTTGATGCCCTCAATCTTTAAAATTGCATTTTTGAAAGTGGGCAAAAAGTCTGTAAATTAAGGTACTATACGTTTTGTGTTTTTATGTGGCTCACGTCAAGGTGTGCTGTGCTAATGACTGTAATAAGGTTGAGTTACAAAAGTTAGCCGAACAATTAATTAAGTCTATAACTATGGTTAGAGTTATAAATTAGAATCAAATTGCGCTTTATTTGTTGACAAATTCTATGTAGAGATTGACAATAATGAAAATAATTTGTGTATATAATGGATGTATCAAAATCTGACATTTCATGTATTTTAGGATATGAATTTTTGTACACCTCATCTCTAGTCTGTACCTTGCAGGCTTCTCTAAGCATCTTAAATATATATGTAACATTTTCGCAACTTGATGTAAAATAATCCTAGGTTACTAGTGAAAAGTAATGCCTTATTGAGGCTAAACAAAAGTATATTTTCTGGTAGTCTTTTCATTTCATAAGCATAACTGATGTGTATTGACAAAACCATTATTACAGTAAATGTGGCTTGTTGCATGTTATTGGCTATGTCACGTATTGCAAATAGATCACAATCTGTGTTGAGCATTTGACTGTATAGAATGTTAGGAATATTGTTTTTCTTCAATGGTCAAAACAGACTTTGTAGAAAATTTAGGGATTAGGAATTAAGGATGACATGAGTTTCGAAACTGTTATCTAGCCTATAAATGAGTGTCTAATCACAGATTGGCAATTAAAATTCAGTTTTTATGGGTGTGTTTTACACATTCGCTTATGTCGTACAATCCACTGATATGGAGGGTCTATTTTTCTTTTTAGGGACCTTGAATCTTTTCGGTTCATTGGGGTATACCAAATACTATTTCACTGTTTTGGATAGATGATACAGCTTGGAAGTAAAACTCTAATCTTTACCATATTGTAGTTTTGATGCATATATAAACGACCAATACAGATTTTTAATGATAAACTGAATGAGAAGCTTAATTCCAGATAACACAGTAATGTAGTGACATATAATAAATTTCCCAAATATCAACTAATTACCCTGTGAAACTGCCTCTGGCAAAGTTAAACTGTTCGGTTGATATATAACACTATTTATTCAATAAAATGTACATTTACACATTCTTCAATTCTATCTTTGCACAGATTTACCAACGCACAATTTTTTTTGTTTTAGCACTGCTCCTAACAACAAAAATATGTCACCTAGTCATCGTACCAGTAACAGTGCTGCTTCTGGTAGAACAAGCACTGGTTCTCACAACATTGGATCTACGGGAACACCTGCCCCCACCAACACAAATTTTCCTAGAAATGCGATGGAGCGACGCACATACCACCATGGCACTCGGGACAGGACACGGAGGACTGCCACCTATAACGGACCTCCGCCGTCTTCGCCCTCTATTAGCGAGAATATGTCTGCTGGTGTTGGAGTTGTCAGTGGAAGAGGTGGCAATTCTGGATATAGCGCTGGTAGTTCGGGCCGTGCAAGAAACTCTGAATTGCAACGGGAAGGGAGTGGATTCTTCAGCAAGATTACGTCCAAATTTGGCCGCAGGTTGGAAACCATTTTTTATCAATGATATTGGTTTATGACGCTATCAGTCTTATAAAAAAAGAAATTTCTAATTTGAGATGGGTATCGTAGGTTATGATTTGATCAGGGTTTTTCGCTAATAGAATCAGAATTTTAAACAAATAAAAGCCACTGATCTCGCATTTTGTCGCCATAAAACAAAAGTATAAAAAAGCCGGTGTATACTATTTGATCTGGAATATGAACACATATATGTGTAATTCAGCTTGACCAGCTTGATCCTGTAGCTGATATTAACTGCTTTTTGCAAATGAATGTCCGAGTAGTGGGCTTTAGCTGTGCTTCATTGCCTCATATCACCGCATACCTACAGAGAGCACATGGAGTGAGAGTAATCTGATCAATACCTAAAAATGCTGGGAAACAGATTATAAAATAATATTGGATTTAGTTTTGGCATTGATAAGAGTACGCGCCTTTAATAAAGTTATGCATTGGTATTGGGGATGGGATGTCTTTGTAATATATTTTGATTTGTAATATTTCAAATTGATTTGGCAGTTATGAAAAGGTTTGAATTTTTAATCTTCAAAGTTCACGTAATAATAGTTTTTTTCATAAATGGTCTAAAAATATACTTTTATGATTATTAAAATTGACAATATACAAAATGGCAATTTCTATTGGAAACAGTAAATTTTATTATCGGATTTCTCTAGAAACAGATTTTCGTAAAGAATTTTATCTTTTTGAAATTTAAAAAAAAAATGGGTTTTTCAGACGTACCGAGTTATGATCTGTATCTCAGCATTTTTCTCTCAATTTTCCAGCATGTTGTGTATCGTATGTGTTTGTCGATAATTTCTTTTAAGAAACAATGTACATTTTTTACATCTGAAGTTACATGTTGTTATATGTCCGTTACAGGCGCTCGTTACGACTGTCGAGACGCTACGAACGGTCAGTATATGAATGCGAAACCAGTAGAATTAATAATATTTTCAAGACAGCAACAAACATATTAATAATAAAACCTTTGTTACTTTGTACAAAGCACATGCTATGATGGAGTGCTTGTGAAACTTTGCCAATTTTTTTCTCCTTTTCATTGCTAACGTGCATCTGCTTGTTTCACAAAGATTAATTTACTTGAAAAGTTATCTTATTTACGAATTTTATGGTTATATCACAAAAATACCACGAGACGAGACATCAAAAAAATTATAAATAGATGTATATTCAAAGAAATGGTTTTATTTCCCTGAGATAACTTTTCTTTGCATTCATTATTAAAATGATTTATTGTCCATCGTATCATGGCAATGAATTTTATAATCGACTATGAAAAACCTGTTGTATGATTTATATACCTTTTCTTGTTGTCTTGCAACCTTGTTTCATTTGAAGCGATAAAGAAAAGAACCTTTGCATCATGTTATGTTTCATATAAAATTATTTAAAAATATTCTCTTGGGGGACTGAAAAGTGTGTCCCTAATTTTGCATGATCAGCAGTACCGATTAACTGGATAACAACTATATACCATTTTTGCTAAACGCATGAATAAAAAACTAACTTGCGCAAGCATGACGAATGATTTTTAATCTGTAATCAAAATTATAGGGGGAATTGACAATATAACCAGGGATTGTAACAGTATGACTAAGAACCTGGAATGGCCAAAAGCAAATCTATTTTTTTCCGATTTTAATTCTCAAACAATGTTTTCAAATATATTCGAAATCAGTTCCTGTTCATCAAAGAAGTTGACAGAAATCGTAGTAAAATCATAGAAACTAAAATTTAGGAAAGCAGAATATAATTCTCTCTTGCTTAGTTTATGTATAAACATGCAATAGCCACAAAACCTTTTTTTAGGGTTCCAGCAGTTAGTTGAATGATGTTTATTTTTGTCTGACAATTTGAAGTTTTCCGATTATAATATTTTTGGATTTCTCCTGAATTCAAGAATTCATGATTTCGAATAATTGCGGTCATTTGATTTGTTTTTCACATCTCTGCAAAGAACAGAATATTGTTTTGGATAACTTTTTGATTTGCATCAATCGTACCCCTGATACTGTCTTCGGGGGAACGGCCATTCATGTCCGATTTAATCTGGTTTGTGATCATGATGTTGAAGCTTGACATGCTTTTTTCTTATCAATTTTTTGTTTTATTTCTCTGCTTCAGCCGTCGTAGTTTGATGCTTCAGGATTCATTCGGGTATTTATTTGATTTTCCACACATTGTCTTTGTCTCTGTATGTCCATTCATATCTTTCCATTGGTTGTTTCATTACTGTGTCACATTGCTCGTTTGCGTCCGAAAAAATTTGTGTGATATATTGTGGAGTTTTCTACTTTTGTACCACCTGAGGTCTCAGGAGTTTAAACAGATAAAGGGTAATGTTGAAATCAGAAAATAGTTAATTTGAAAAGTCCAATGAGAAATATTTGATCTTTCAGCTAAACAATGTACATTTCTGCTTAGCCATTCTCTGAATCATTCCAATGTTTTCTTCAATGATTCTCTAGTTTTTGATCCTACCAGAAATAGGAAGAAACAACCTACAACCTATGTCATAATCAGCCTCTCAATCTTGTTATATTTAATACCTCCGTCCTCCATGTATTGCATCAGTCTACTGAAATTGAATTAAGTTTTTTTCTTCAATATGATTCATATGCATGATATATCTGTATGTTGAAAGTTGCCTGTGATGTTTCATCATTCATTTTAACCATCCGTTCCATGAAAAGTTATGATGTATTTTGTTCTAACAGAAAAAGTATTACCAAACTATGTCTATACTAGAAATAAAAACATTTGTTGATTCAATACTACCCTATCTATGAATCATGAGTATTTATTTATTGTAAAAAACTTTTGAGAACAATACCTACATAAAGTATAAAAGAGAACAAATTATGAAAATCATCTACAATACACGTCATGAAAATTTTTTTCACTTTGCTAATATCTTTGAAGAAACACTTAAATGAAAACAATCATTTTGGTTACATTGCAAAATTTCTGATGCGCAGTACGAATTCTTTCTGAAGAGTTAAAATATGAAAGTATAACCTATATTCAACACTATATATCTACACTTTGCTATGCTAATAACCATACCCCAATATTGGAATGAGTGTGTGTTGGATTGCGATTTCGTCACTATTCATTATTTGGCATCATTATTAAGACTTTTTTTGTCAGTTCTACAATAAAGCAGAAAGTGTTTTGTGTGGTATAGCAGCGACCTGCATGTTTTTCTATTTTACTTGTTTATTAAAATTTATTTTCTACATTTTTCTGTTTATACAGCGCTAGTGGCAGACCTAGCATACCGGAGACTGATAAAGACAAGGAAACAAAACCCCGATCACTAAGATTTACATGGTCCATGAAAACTACATCTGCTATGGATCCCAATGAAATGATGAAGGAAATAAGAAAGGTATGTCTTGTTTGCTTCATAATGTTAATTTGAAAATCAGTTTTTCATTCTGGAAATGAGTTATGTGCATAGCGGCTGATTGCTAGCACTATATGTAGCATTTGGAAGAGTATGTATTAGATTTATATAAAGCGTATCATGTTAATACAACTCAAGGAGAGAGATCTATACATCTTTTGAATTTGGATCTGTTGTTAGTGAAAGAGGGCCCATTCTTAAAATTTTGAATTCCACCACTGTTTGTCAGATGCCTAATCGACTGCTTCTAGGTTCAATACAAATGGTAGCTTTTTGCATATTTTATTACGTTTTGTCTCCTTACTTAAACTCCTGAAGTGGAAGTTTGTTATTTTTTCAGAGTTGACAGAGGGTGTGATTGTTTAATCGTAGACACTGAATGTATATAAATGCTCTGATTGCGTTGCAGTTAAAATGTTAGACTCAACTGTTGTGGCATTACTGATTACACATCTTGGTTTCGATTCCCACGCCCGTTCATCTCATCAAGGGTGTAATAAATTGGGTAGGCAGTGCTGAACCAGAAATTGCTGTCCTTTTGAATAATAGTAGCTTCTTACCTATAGTAAGATATCAGTAGCTGCTTGTATAGTGCTTTGTTCGTAGCGAAATTAGCGTCATATAAAAATAATTAGGGGAATAAGCATTTAAAAATGAGTCATAAACTGGTAACTTCATGGTACAAAATCAAGACTAAACTCTTCATTATCCCTATATTTTTCGCTATTAGCGAAATAGTATACTGATATACCCCATAGTATCACCATGTTATACTGTTAACTAGTTTACTCTTCAAGTAAATTTGGTATATATTTATCTTCACAGGAGTAGTAATTTATATATTTATAGGTCTACGTTTTGTGTTTTCAGGTTCTTGATAATAACAGCTGTGATTATGAACAGAGAGAGAAATTTCTACTTTTCTGTGTTCACGGTGATGGTCATGCTGATAATCTTGTGCAGTGGGAAATGGAAGTCTGTAAACTGCCACGCCTTTCATTAAATGGAGTTAGATTTAAGGTTGGTTTTGTCTCAACTTGATTGAGAATAAAACGATTAGATATGGATAGTGAGATTTGGATGAATTTCCAATATCTTACTATTGGCAGTGAGATATGGCTAGGCTATTGGGTACTTCTGTAGTATGTGTACCCGGTTAGGGTTAGGCCATAATTTTATTCCGATTTTCCTTATTTTAGTTCTATTACGAGTTTGGCGACTGTCTGTGTTAGCCAAGTGAATACCCCCCCTGTCCATAGTAATCAGTCTCTGTGCACAACATAATGTAAAGTAGGCGAACAAAATTAGTTACCTCCAATTTGTTACACATACTTCTGTAGTGCCGGCTATTGAGTAGGTTTTGACCTCTTGAGTGAGTGGGATATCACTGCAATGTAAATTTTGGGCCACCTTTTTTGCACAAATTATTCTGATACTTCACACAGTCACACTGATTGCACCCAGGGAAACTTGTTGATAGTACTTAATGTAGAAAAGGAGTAATATCAATATGCTGCAAATTATAACTTGTTATATATTTGCATTTTACCAAACGATATTGACAAATTATCTGTGTGTTTTTAATTTTATTGTGCAATTTGCCACTGATGAAATTTGACTCCTTTCCCATCTTTGTTTTCCAAAGATAAGTTAAGCAAGACCCGAAGATAATTTTTGAACAGTTATGCAGGAAGAGCATATTCCTTGGCAAATTATAATACATTTTGAGTCAAAGTATTATATTTTCATATGTTAAACTTTTATTTCTCAGTTTGTGAGCCAATATAGATAGAATTGGTGATACAATTGAAGAAATATATAATTATATACTGGTAATCGAAAAATAGTAATAGGGTAGTGATCTATTGATTTGACAGAGGAGAGGATCTATAGATCAACAGTGCAAAAGCTAGACATATTTGCAACTAACAAGGGTTCATAATAATTTTTTCTGCTTATGGAAAACATTACGCTCTGTATCTGAAAAAAAAATTTTTTAGGCTAGAATTGTGGTTGATCTTTTGCAAAACAATTTTCATATTTCATGAACAGGCAATCGAGAGAATTTTCAGTTTATTTGAGCCTTATTTGTTCTTGTGAGCATTATGAAGCATTCTATTTTTATTGAAATCAATGACACCAGGGAAAATATGAGCTATTGTACAATTTACACAATATTACACCATACTCCATTTTCAGGGTTGCCAAAAGATTTTTCGATTTTTTCTTAATATAATTTCTATTTACTTTCTGTGCAAAAAATTTAATGTTTCCATTTTCTTTTTGCAGAGAATATCTGGAACAAGCATCGCATTCAAAAACATTGCTTCCAAAATTGCGAATGAGCTAAAGCTTTAGCAAAGAGAACGAAAGCTTTTTACATGTGGGGCATCAATCTCTCAAGAGCCTGAATAGAAACCTCACACCTTCTATGTAATCTATATGCTCCAAGATTCGAAAGTCTTGTCACATCTCTAGGATTGTTTAAGAAGAGTTACGCTCTCTAGAGGCACCATAGAAACGGGTGCTACGTGAACAGCACATATGGGTGAACTACCTCCTTTGACAGTGATGTGACAAGCGATCGTTTAATAAGTTTCAAAACTGGTCTTTTCAACGAATTTTTTTCTGTATTTCGACATGCCTATCACTCATTATACCTGCTTAAATTGTTCTAGGCCTAAAGAATTGACCTTTGGTTGTGTGTTGTATTTCATACATTTGGTCACTAGGTAGGAATACACTCATCTTAATATATGAATATTATCTTATAATTTTTTTCTGGCCTGTTTCGATTCTGAATATTATATGTGCTGATTTGTATGTACCAAAACCATGAATTAAGATAAAAATTGCCCATTTTCAAATTTCAGAAATAAATTTTTCAGTTGTCAAAAACATCCACACTCCAGCCTAGGTCTAAATTATTGGGCCAAAATGATTCCATCAGTTTTTTTTTTGCTGTATTTGTTATTCTAAATGGACTTTTTTTGCACATACTATAATTTTGTTGGCATCCATGGTACCCTCGGAATTGATTATGAATTATTTTAGACTAAGATGAATGACTACTCATTTGACAAACTAATTCGATCTTCTCTATTTCATAATCACTTGCCATATTTCTCTTAATGCTTTCGTACCAATGTAAGGATGATATATGCCAAATGGTACAAGCATTCACTCTTTACCAAAATCGTTTATGAAACAGCAGCCATAAAAAAAATTTTCAACTGAGCTCTGATCTTAAGGCTATAGTACTTCTGGATCGATGTTTTATTTCAAGGTTTAATGCCTCAACTTTTCGGTTGCTGAATTAAAGTTAAAGCGATTGTTAGTTTCGCTGTCTTACGCACATTTTACTATGTTGTTTGGACTCCCATATCATAGCTACAAGTTATCAATGCCATGGATGTTAGTAGTGGTAATGTGTATGCCAGTCGTATTCTTACTTTATTATTAATTATTTTGTTTCCCTATACGTAGGCACATAGTCATGTATGACAACATTGACGATGCGATATTGTGAATTTACACTAAAACTTTATATATATTTTTTGTACTTCATTTCAATGTCTTGTTGAGTGAATTTGTTTGGGACAGTCTGTTATCTCAATCAAGTCAATCCTAATCTGGCAGACTTGCCGATTGTTCACTCTCAACTCTATAAACTTGGACTAGTTATTAAATGCGCTTGGTGATCTAATAATTGACTTTTCAGCAGCTTATCTATTTCAAACTTATTTTTTAACCTTGTAAAGCTATTTAATAGGTTACCTAAAATGACCCCTAAAAATCAAGGACCTTTTCAGCAGTTGATAGGTATTTTAAATCATAAACCTTCTTGGTATTTGAATTACTAAAAGTCAATTGTAGTAGAGTCAAGCAAAATGTACCATATTTGCCTTTGATAGGTAAATAATACTTAGAATAAATTGGTGCTCTTTTTCCATGTTCATCAAGGCATATGACAACATTTATAATTAATCGTAGCCAATTCTTCCCTTCCTTTTCATTATGTTTAATTAAAATTTTCTGTATAGCCTCCTGCGACACAAAGGAATCGGGAAGTACGCTTTGTTTAAAATACCACTATGTTGTGTAAGAATTTTTTAATTTAATTCAAATTACAAACTCAACATATGGGATGTCTAATCAATTCTGTTCTAAAAATATATACCAGCAGGTCTATACTGGTAATTACAATGTATGTATTCACACCGAGTAGTCTTGCAATTTTTTAGTTCAGAGATGAATCTCATAAAATAGTTGGAAAATCTTTTTTCTTGTGAATCCAAAAATAGAATCAAGATCCTTTCTCCCGTGCGTATTTTGGTAAATGCACCTAACTACTCTTACGCATTCACTCTCTCAAAACTCAACAAATTGAGTGAAGGCAAAGTCATCAACAGGGTGTACAATACTAATTTTTTAATAATATTTCTATTTACCCCATCTCAATGGTGTTTCTTCGTAATCTATTCTTACTGTTATTCTTGTTATCATAATCCAATTTCTATTTGTCCGTTTAGTTCGTTTTGTGTTTTTTTTGCTTTTTCCATTTCCATGTGACTTTATTGATCGCTAATAATGAAAGTTTTTAATAGTGTAAGGGGAAATATTTGCAGATATCACATTATAGAAATAATGTTCCCATATCAATAAGTTTTTCACTACTCAATCCACAACTGAGGTGTACTGGTGAAATTTTAGACATGGCTGAAAATGACAACATGCTTGAAGTCATTGGTGTGATTGATTGTAAAATATCTCACAATTTAGCTCAAGTTTGTAACAAAAAAGTTTTTTTGATTAAATGAAAACTTCAAATTTATACCTTGTCCAATGAAACCACAGACCAAGATAATTGACCCTTTCATAAGAATAAAAAACATTTCGTGAAATCTGGTCTGAAATAATTTGTTTTTGCTACTCTACTGTGCATGATTTAATTATCTACATCTTGCGATTTGTTGCTCTTTTTCATTGGTTAATTTTACAAGATGCTTATTATTATAAACGAAAGGTTCAGGCGACCCTCTCTTTCTGTGTGTTATTGTCTGTGTTCTGATTGGGTCTTTTAGGTTGCTATTTCTCTGTTTCCATTTCTGGTAGTCTCGTTTATCAGTACACTGGTTAAAAAAAAAAAAATTCATAAAGTGGTACATAATGAAGTCGGGAGAGATACATCTGCGTTACTTCCAATTGTGCTATATTATATTTTTTGAATCCCAGTGATTTCACTAGTGTGAACGATCTAATATGAATGTATAAATTGGCCCAGAATTTTCATGTAAGAACAAGAGGACAAAGCTCAAATAAATGGACACGACAGCCAGAACGATGTAGTGTCAAATCTTTTACAGTTCTAGTGGTCTCTATTATCGAAAAACTTCGATCATTGAAATCAGATCGCGAAACCGACAATAGGTGTGCAATTTTTAATTTTGGTAACATCCTCGCACAGACGCAAGCGTGAGAAATGAATTTAACAGGCCCTCTGAAAGTTTATAAATAAATAAAAGCAATAACATTCTAGCGACTACGGCAATCTTTGACCACTGAAAAATGCTGGAATGAGCTTCGCTGTCACACAATACGCTAAATAATATGATTATTATGTAATGGAAAAACGTATTTGATTTATAAAGTTAGGTTGGAAGTAAAAGCAAGGCAGTAAACTATTGGAAGGATGGAGGGTAAGTAGGAACAGAACAGTTTAGAGGATTGCTGTTTTTGCCATTGGGATTCGGGTATGTTGGCGTGTTTTGGTTTGGGATTGGACACAATGCCAATACTGCACGGTAGACGCCACGTAGGCTATGTATCATCGGGCCTTGCAGGTGGTGGATGGCCTCATTCCTATCCTACATTTGGCACGGCTGAGTGGTACCGGTACCTTTTGATTACCTATCAAGCGCATTGTGCTTTCACGGACTTGTAAGACAGTATAACTTGTAACGGTATAGTATAGGTTTATTTTGACTCCATAATCAGAATAAACGACGCTACGATAATAATAATTGATAAAAACGAAATGCATAAAACTTTTATCTCAATGGATCTTTCCCCGAGCATCGACTTCCTCGTTTACTTCGTGACATTGGCCAATGAGCAAGATGCAAAAAGTGACGTAACAATGTTCCCTTTCCGCATCCGCTCAGACACTTTTCTCACTCAGACAGATTTTCAAGCGTGGTCGTAAACATTACCTCTATTTCGCGTTTTCAGTTTCTCCATTCGTTAGATTTCAGTTGTGTTTCGGAAACTCAAATATAAAGCAGAATATTCAATAATCTCTCTGTGAGTGTAAAAATAGCTGTGATAGACTAGGCTAAAATTCTTTACCGGTACTATTAAAAAACAGATTGCTGTATGCGATGAATCATAATAATGGTTTGAAACACATACCCCATTTTACAAGCGCCAACTCGAAAAAGCACTCCTAAAATAGCCCCAAAAATTTTGCAATGATAAAGTAAAAGGAGGAATTTTTCGGGGGTCAAAAGTCGAGGGAGGGTCCATCGTCAGTGTGCGTTTATATATTTACAATAAAAATGTGTCGTCGTGATTTTTGATCAATGCATCACAAAAATTTCGTGAAATCAAGCAGTTTCTATTAACTACCAGGTTAATCGGATAGTTAAAAAACGAAATATACAGATATGTCCGTTATCCGGATAGTAAAAATTAAAGAGATCCGAAATAACCATTGAGGTGTATATAACTCAATGGCAATAACCCTGTACAGGCCATTGAATTTATATATACCTCAATGGTTCAGGCAGGATTTCATGTATGAGTTGTCCAAAGTAAGAATGATTTTATTTTTTCAGTGAATAAACCCTAAAAAATATACATAAACTTTCTCGAGAATCCAACATTGTCGTAAAAATCTCCCACCAGTTTTCGATAAATTACATCAGTGTACAGTTTGTGCTCCCATAATAATTATTGGGTACTCCTGAAGTATGCGCCAAGATGTCGCATAACCTGAACACTGACCTGGTACACAACCTGAGTTCAGGTTGCGCGCCATCTTGGTGCGCATTCTTCAAGAGGTCCAATTATTGTTTTGCATTGTATCTGCTTACATAAATAGCCATATTCCTACCGTGTTTCCCCGAGGATAAAACCTACCCTGAAAATAGGACCTAGCCTGAATTTTAAGAATGATTTCAACATAAGCCTTTCCCTTAGAACAGGGGTGGCCAACCTTTCACATACCATGCGCCACGTTTTAAACATAATGTTTCAGATGCGCCGTAAATCTCTTGTATTCCCACGCCTAATGTCCGCTTCTTGTTGAAATTATATAAATTTATAATACACACACATATATACACACGTATTTTACGCTGCGCTTTTGTTGACAACGGTCATTTGAAGTTTGGATGAAAAAGGTGGTATTTAGGGATCCTTTTCAGCATGTTGTGGGTTGATTTATAATAAATTTTTTAGGCTTGGGCAATTCAACTGGTTGTTCAATGGTTATTGGGAGATATTTGGGAAGTCTGGGCAATGGAAAATCCGTGTTTCAAGCTGATAAATGACGACTTTCTATTTTTCCAGAAGTTCTGAACTTTTTACTTCAGTAGGGAAAAATATTAAATTTTACTAATTTTTGCTAAAAGTCTAGAATGAATGTCATAAAGTTCGTCCAAAAGCTAAGGTCGATAATCGCCTGTTGTTTCTAATTCCAACAAGCCGTAAGTGGGCGACGTGGAGTAAGGAGAATAGATTTTAGGTACAATCAAAAGTCACCATGTAAATCGCAAAAAAACGGCTTGGCTTGAGAAGCCAAGTGCAATTAACACATTTGGCATGAAAAGGGTTAAAGATGCAATGCGCCACTTCTAATCATGCAATGCGCCACGTTTGGCGCATGCGCCATAGGTTGGCCCAAATAGGCCATGGGCCGAAAGCCGTACGGTGTCGGTTGGTGGTGACTGTTTGGGGGGAATGTCAACTTTGTATCATTCGATTCAGAAATAATTCCTGATTACGGTAAACTAAAGTTGACATCCTCAAAGTGGAGCAATTACGCGCAAGAGGCGCCGAAACTTGCCTTGTCGCGCCACCTTAATCGGATTAATGACGTAAAAAATCTTTCGTCACGCTTGGTTGGTTTGCGAATAAAAACGTAAAATAGACGTATTTTGTAATTCTTATTTTACATGTTTTAATATTTTCCAATTTATATAACTTTTTTTAATTGTAATACCGTTTAAAAACAGCCAGATGTGAACGTTTACGCGCAATTTTGTAATAAATCTCCGCTATCCGTCGCTATCGTTGCTAGGCTACGGGGAAGCCGCCGACTGTCGTCTGCCAGTAGTTCGACTGCTATTATTTTTACGTTCCGTTTCAGGTTCAGTGTTCGGGGATTTCAATGAGATTCCGATAGATATTAAACTATGTCAGAAACCACATGCTGTATACACTACCACGACTGTGACGATGGCCTTTTGACTGAGATATCGATCAAAAGTTGTAAAAGGATATGGTATAGTTCATTAGCCTGGAAAGATTTGGAATGTGAGGTAGATAAAGAAATAGCAATAAATATTTTGAAGTCGGATGAAGATATTCTTAAAACTAAGCAATGCCACAAAAAATGTTATTCAAAGTTCACGAACATAACAAGAATTAACAGAGCTCGTTCTAAAAAGAAGCCCATAGACACCGAAAATAGATCTGAATTAGGAATCAAGCCAAAAAGAACTTCAAGCGAAATTTTTGCAGATATTGGTAACAAATTTGCAAGACGGAATAAGAATGTTCTTCCCAAAAAATGCATTATATGCAGAAAAGAAAAATTTATTAAAAGACATAAAGCACATTCAAGAGAAAAACTGTCATGTTGTGAATATTCGTCTGGTAAGATTTTTTCAGATAATTCAGTATAGATGAGGGGGTCTGGCATGGATATATCATTTATTTTAACCAGGCCTTGGGTTGAACACCAATTCAATATTCTTGTTGCAAATTCATAAATAACGCTATAAGGTAATTTATATAATCCAGGCAGTTTATAATTGAGTGTCAGGATGAGTAACATGTATGAGTTTGTTGTATAGCTGATTTTTAGGCACACATAATAGAATTCGAATAACATATCAGTTTAGTTATTGATGTTAAAGCATTTGTTTAGTATAGCAACGCACATGTATTACATGATTTTAATTTAAAAGTTCGAGAGAGATTTCTCATTTTAGTTCCATACTGATGTAGGCAATATTTTATTTCAGGTGGCCTTTTCTACGAAGCTGCCCTGGCAAGAAACGATGAGTCTGTATTGGTGCAAATCAGAAATAGAGACTTGGTAGCGATCGAAGTGCGATATCATCCGTCGTGCTATAAAGAATACATAAAAATACTAACAATCAAACCAATATCTTCGTCAAATATCAACAACGAAAATGTATACACCAAACATTTTGAAAATTTTTGCACATCTGTTGTTAATTCTATAATAATAGAAAATGGAAATCCAATTACACTCATTAAATTGAAGCAGTTGTTCGTAGAATTTGTCGCCAAGGATGGCCTGTACATAGATAGTGACCTACAAACGTCATATTTTAAACAAAAGCTGAAAACATGTTTACCAGCATTACTTTTTTTACGACCATCAATGCGCAGAAAAAGCGAAATTGTGTATTCACCGGAAAGCAAAAAACACATCGCAGAATATTTGGAAAGTTTGGAAATAAATGGAAATGACTATCATTACGATGAAACATCTCAAGTAGATTTTATATCCGAAGTCAAACGAGACATGTATAGATCTATAGTGATTAGTTACCACTACACATAGATTGTTTGTAGATTGGTCTGGTTTATGTATTATAACCCCAGCATTGACTGACAATAGTTTTGTCTTGCGTTCGTTAACTCGAACTGTCTATCTGTCGATAGCCTTCGGCTGTAGTAAGGAGACGTTTGAAAACACCTTATGAGTTTATTGCAATTCCGACAATATATACAGAAATACAATGTACACACAATTTGATCAAATCTAGTCTGATTAAAACAAAACA